TTGATCTTTCCGTAGACTCTGAATCAGATCATCGAGGGTGCTTTGCACTAAATTCAACCTCATGATCTGATTTGGCTTGACAGAAAGATCCCCGGACTGATCTCCGAGGTGGAGAGACAGTCCGGTCTGGGGAATATTGAGACCGGTCGACATTATGGAAGTTGAGGAGAGGTCAAGATCGGGAGGAAGAGAGAGGGATTCGAGGTTGTGAGCAGGGTCGGATGGCAGCGTGAGAGCTGCAGGTCAGGCGGCCAACTGCACAAGGGAATGAGGTAAAACCATACGCCATAAGATCGATAGAAATATGGATATTGAGAAAGCAATGCAGACTGTAAAATGTAAATGGTAAGTGAGAAGAAAGAGGAGAAAGGGCAGAAAGGCAGCGAGAGCAAGGCGAAGCGTCGGAGAGTGGGGAGAGCTGACGGCGATTCCTTGTAAAATTACAGGGGATTTCCCGATTGGTTTTTTTGTATTTCTTTTTCTTTTTTTAATTAATTTGAAGTAATTTCAATGTATCGACTCCTACAAGTACTTTTCAATGTTCTTATACCTATAATATTTACTCCGTAAAGAGATACTGAATACAAATTACATGGATATAATCCTAAATCTCACTATGTACATTCGTTGTTGACTGTGATACCTTCAGTATTGTCCTCGTATCGAAAGTCATTCTGTCTCAGGGCCTTTGTTCGAACGTCAAGTCCTATTTGTAAAGTTACCTTGTTCCTCACTTTTCTTTTTTTCCCTTTTTTTGTTTTTTTCTTTTTCCACTCCTTTGTTCCAAAATAATTGTAACGCCGTACAGTGTACATCCCCCCCCTACAATATACAAAACCTACATACGTAACTAAGCGCAGCCGACAACCGCACCGAATCTAGGCTCGGATACAAATACAATACAAATACCGTGAGGAGAAAGAGAAAAAAGGTGACTCCATCCATAACGGGGCTTCCCGAGTCCAGTCTTGTTTACCGAAGCGGGTGTGGTCGGGTTTATTTGACTTCAATATAGATTAAAGGTTTGTTACTATGTATTTGTTGAGATGACAGGGAATATTTTTCGAATGGCCTCGAATGGGTGGTTTCAGAAACGAAATAGGAAATAGGAAATACATTCCAATCCCATATTCCCTCGCCAATGACAATCACCCCGGGTACTCACCCGACTATTTTACCCTGGAGATACCTTAAAGGAATGCCACAGCTTTGCCCCTCGTTCATATGCACCCAGGCACGGATATCCAACCCGAAAAGGTCCCTCAGGTGTGTTACCGTTCAATGTTTCGCCCTACATCGGACTAGTGGACTTGCTAAGGACTCTTACTCCTTTCGATAGGCTAACGAGAAACGGGGCCAATTCCTCGTACCACATGTTATCGGGCTCCTATTTTGATTACAGAGCATTTTAACCTTTCCAGGGTTATTGCAGGTTTTCCAGAACATAAGACGATTCCAAGTCGGTTATAAATCAAAGAGGTTCCACTGTTTGAACATTGTCTATGACATCTCCAGGGTACTCCGTATACATACGTTGTAGGGTAAATTCCAGGCGCACTTCCTCTTATAGGATCTACGGTTTCACAGCTGCATGGAAGGTCCATTTATGCATCCTAATGGAGCAATAGAGACCAAGCCATCAGGCTCCGGGGTGTATATTGTATTACGCCCTTATTTTATTTTAGTAATTATTCTTTGATTTTACTCTTTCTGTTCCTTTGCAGGTTAGCCCCCATATTGGGTGCTGGACTGGTCAATTCGAGTCCCAACACATAAATCAACTGTGGCAAATCTGAATGAGATCAAGTTACATCGAGAGTTCCCCGTAAGCAGTGCAGTGTAAGAGTAGAAAAGTGTAAGCAGTGTAATGACCTGCATGGTCTACTCAACCTGGACAAGTGTACATAAGAGGGGAATACCGTGGATCCCTTGCGCCATTCGGCTTATTCTCCAACTGTCTAGTCTGAGACAAGGGGAAAATAATACCCATACAACATATCCGGAGTACGGAGTACCCAGATAAATAGACCATTGTCTGCCTTGCTCTCCGATCTACGCAGATCCGAGCCTGCAGGACTGTCGGCTCCGAAAATCCTCTTTCGTCATCGGTTTAATCTCGTATTCAATGACTCAGGAACATTTTCAATCTTCAATTGTATGAGATGGGAGTATTTAGAACAAATCTACAAATTCCAAAATTATTCCATGTCCAATATCCAACTCATAGGCTATACACAAAATTGAACCCCAAAATGCCAACCCAAAACGACATCGCCAAACATTTCCGTTCCCTCCACCAACCCGGCAACCCCCTAATTCTAACAAACGTCTACGATGCCGCAACTGCCTCCATAATCGCCTCACTGCCAACAGCACCCGCGATCGCAACAGCGTCCTACGCGATCGCCGCAACGATCGGCGTCGATGATAACGCCCTAACAAAATCCCAAAATCTGACCGCGGTAGCCGCAATCGCCGCCTCCGTCCGCGCTATCAACCCTACCAAACCACTAACCGTCGATGTGCAAGATGGACACGGTGATGCCTCCGAGCTAGCAGATACAATTAAACAAGTCATCGAGCTAGGCGCTGTGGGGTGTAATCTCGAAGATATGGACGCGACTGGCGTGCTGCGGTCGGTGGAGGAGGCTACGGCGCGTGTTGGGGTTGCAGTCCAGGCGGCCAGGGAGGCCGGGGTTCCAGATTTCGTGGTTAATGCTAGGACTGATGTGTTGCTGACAGAGAATGGGACCATTGAGGAGGCCATTGAGCGCGGGAGGGCATTTTTGGAGGCTGGTGCTACTACGGTTTTTGTTTGGGGTGGGCCTAGTGGGAGGGGTGTTTCGAGTGTGGAGGTTACAAAATTAGTTGATGCACTAGGGGGTATGGTTAATGTGAAGATGAATTTGAGAGAGGGATTTCTAGGGGTGAGAGAGATTCGGGCATTGGGGGTTGCAAGGATTAGTGTTGGGCCGGAGCTGTGGCGAACTGCCATGAAGGCGTTTACTGAGCGAGCTGAGCAAGTGTTGGCTATGTGAGTACCTACGCCGTTATGCTTGTCTAGGTAAATTCGTGAATATATTACGTGAGTCATAAGTTAGGTATTCAAATCCTCCACTGCCTCATGCAGCCCAAAATAACTGTCTGGCCTTAACCCAACACAAAGTCATTGATCCTGCGCACACTTGCTGTGCGCATTCTGATAGATCACGATCCTGCATCATCAAGTCCGGCTACAAATCCCATTTATGCAGGTATTTCCATAACAGCAGTGTTCATCAACAACGCAAGGCCCATTATCCTCTCTACAAGACGGCCAATTATCATCTGTCGATCGACATTTGCTAGCGGCGCAGTAGCCTGAGCAACATTGGTTGTTCGGGGTGCCGAACTCACACGATGCTAGTATTAGTTAGAATGAGGTACGTTCAATGTTATATTTAGATGTAGTCTCTCGATACTTACAGTAGACTCCCGCGCAGGTGGGTGTTGGGACACAGGTTGTAATAGTCGTTGTCGAGGGTGAGGTAAAGGTTGCTGTTGTACATGTTTCAGTAAGGACGCAGGCGTCAGCACTGCCGCATCCTCCTGCTGGACAAGCTGCTGCTTCTGTTTGGGGGAAGATGTAGTTAGCAGGTTGTCCTTTGGTGTAGGCGTTGGAAATACTTACGGCTCAGGGCGAGGTGAGTGAGGAGAATAACAAGAGCCTTGTAGAGGTGCATGTTTCTTGTCTCAATATATAACTCTTAGTTATGCGAGAATATAATTGTGGTCGGTTGATTGAAGAAGTTTGGAGTAAAGCGCTTCTATCGGTGTCTATATATACACCATACACCAAGACATGCAAATGCCTAAAGCATCAAATTTAGAGCAAACCTTGGATGAAACGACCATATGACTTGATACGAAGTCATCTACACCATTTGATAGTGATGTTTCAAACTCAGACCCTTCGCCACTACCCCGGACTTTCCATCTCTGCCGCGGTCGATGTTCTCCCAACGCCACATAAATACGAGGGTCAACACGAGGAGTTCGATCAACTCGAATTAGATTGGCTTTTATGTGAGACACTATTCATCATTCAAAATCATACTTTATTGGCTTCTGTTGGTTTATAGGAACGTGATCAACTATGATGTAGCTGGACAAAGTTGCCGACTGGTACAGCTACGGCTTGGATTCGATCATTCTAATTTCTCATCTCAGGTCATGGATAGAGAATAAAATCCTCATGTCACATGTCAACACATATTAGATAATACTAAGCCTAGAAATCGTTCATGTAGAGAATAAATAAACAGCACGAACTCTTCACTATGTAACATGTACTTAGCGATGTCAACTAACCCCAGATTCGTCTTGGCCGCTCACAATTCAGCGACGAATTCTATCTTGTTAGATTCTCAGTATATGTGTAGTGTGTAAGATATGACATCTTCTTTACCATCGATATCGTTCATAGAATTCATGATAAAATGATTAAATCCTCCTCAATCTTAACACGAACTTTCCAAGCAAATCTATGTGCACAATTAATTATATCCAAGTCAAATCTTGACGGTGAACTATTCTTAGCATTCCATCTGATATTCCCGGGGCATTTGAAGCATTAGCGCAACGATGCAGTAGTTTCAGCCACCGACTGCCAACTCAAATACGTAGGCTGGCAGGTATTCCATGAACTTGCTAAAGATCATCGACTGAACAAATCTACCTTGCCACAAGAGTCCGGGCCATTCAAGCTCTGGTGTGATGACTTTCGGCCCTCGAATGTGCTTCTTGATTCGGACTTGCAACCCTCGGGGATTATCGATTGGGAGTTCACATATGCGACACAGGTCGAGTATGTTTCTACGCCGCCATGGCGGTTGCTACTCGAACAACCAGAGCACTGGCTGTGTGGCATCGAGGCTTGAACATCTGTCTATGGTGAATGTCTGCAGAGCTTTCTTAAGGTTTTAGTTGGGCAAGAGAAGGTTCTCATACACTCTGACCGGATGGAAGAGAAGGGACGGCTTCTTGGGTTAGTGCGGAAGAGTTGGAGATGCTGAGATTTCTGGGCCAGTTATGCATCAAGAAATAATTTCAACTCTGATGGAGTTCACTGGCAATATATTAATTGTCGTTTTATTAGGCCTATTGGAGAGTCAGAGGATGCCTGGGAAGCAAAAACCAAGCTTCTTGATGAAGCAAAGAAACAGGCCATGAAAGCTCTTGTACATCAGAAGATGCAAGAAACGGAGCAAAGAGTCCTGGAATTGGATCCTATCGAGTGACAGGCTTTTTGTTAGAAGTCAGTACCTCTTGGTCCTAGATATAAGTAGGACTTTATCCCGGAGACTAGGTACCTTTTGTATGGGACCATCAAAAAAAAGATACTAAAATAGTGTATGGGACGTTTAACCCCTCCAGGGCTGCGCCCCCAAACCCTTTGAGGATTGGGGGCGTGAAGGCGAGTTGGGCTTTGCGACCCAAGCTCAACTCAGATGCTATCCATCATATCACCCCCGGTGTCATCAAATTAAGATCAAAGTTTGCCTTCATTCGGTATTCATGGCTCTCCCAAAGACAGAGTGAGTGACCTCCAACGTAGACACATATATACGACATTTAGCGGAGGCATTACCGACTGTCAATAGACGAATACAAAGAAAACCCGAAGCTAACAAATCCCACCAGCTTCCCCGCAGTCCGCGCCTGCATTTTCGACATGGACGGTCTCCTCATCAATTCCGAAGACATAGTCGCTCAATCCACAAATCACCTTCTTAAAAAGTACGACCAGCCTCCTTTGACTCCGTCAATCCGAGCCCAGCTCATGGGCGTCGCAGACTCGACAAACGGCGAGATATTCCATAACTGGGCCAAATTACCCATCTCTCGCGAGCAATTCGCCCTTGAATCAAGCCAAGAAATGCAACTACGCTTTCCGGATTGCATGCCGCTACCTGGTGCGGAGAATATTTTGTCGGATCTTAGTCGTGCACGGAGCGCTGCTTCTGGTGATAAAATTCAGCTGGCTTTGGCATCCAGTACCAAGACGCATAGTTACGAACTGAAAACTTCGGGGCCGGAATCGAAAAGACTGCTTAGTTTCTTCCGCTCTGATAGGAAGGTCTTACTTGATGACCCGCGCGTGCGACTGGGTCGAGGGAAGCCAGCGCCTGATATTTACTTGGTCGCGTTGCAGGTATTGAATTCTGGGGTAGAACCTAATGAGAACCCAATTCTCCCTAGCGAGTGTTTGGTTTTTGAGGATAGTATCGCTGGGGTAGAGGCTGGAAGACGAGCTGGGATGAGAGTTGTCTGGGTACCGCATTCAGATGTAGCGGTCGAGTATCAACCGAGGCACAAGGATATCCTGGCTGGGAGGTCGGGGAGATTTCAGGTTGGAGACGACTGGCAGCTAGGAGAAGTTGATGACGGCTGGGCTGAGAGTATACCGAGCCTGGAGGACTTTGACTATGAGAAGTATGGCCTTGATGTGCTATCTTAGATTATGTCAATGAAGCAGTTTCAATTCGATTTGGTAATTATGCAACATCAGGAATCTGCTCCCACATGTAAAGAAAAGAAGACGGAGAATAGGGTTTATTGACGGGCCCAAAAATCAACGATCTCGTCAAACTGTTCCTTCATCAAGGCCTCTAGATCCTCGTTGGTGATCTCCTTCCTCAAGCAACAAGCAACCTCATAGGTAATAGAAGCATCTTGCATCTTGCCCATCATCCCCAACAAATCGCACTTGAGAAAAGTAGTACAAGCGATCTCGCTTTTATACACATCCGGATCAACAGACCGTATGTCCAGTGCGTAGTTGATCATATCCCCAAGACAAATCAGAAAATCGTTGAGCCAATCAGGAGCAGATGGTAGGAATTTACATTGCCACCTCTCTGCGGCCCAAGCGGAGTAGGTGTTCTACAAACTTATGGGTAATATTTGCAGTGTTAAAGTCCCTGTCACCCACCGTCTCGCACATGTGATGCCGCGGTCTCCGGTGGAGATGACCAGCGGAATGCCAGTAAGTGCATCGGAAATTTGCCGCGCTGTATCAACTCCTGGCGCGTTCGAAATAGTAGTGAGATGGCTGAAGAGGAATAAGCTGTGCTTCTGTTTCTGCGAAAGTGGACCGAGATCGAGACCCGAAGGCCTTCTTGTAAGCATGCTCTTACTCGATGGGTCGCGGCTAACGACTAGAATCCATGCACTGGATTGGGGCCAGTAGTCCGTCGAGAGCATTGGATCATCTGCGTTATCGAATATAAGCAGCCAGGTTGCTTCTGAGCTAGCTTCGCCTGGTTGAATAGAATCATTCGATCTAGGATATCTTCATGACCGCAGAAATCCTTATTTGCAGAATGTATGTTGAGAAGGAAGCACGGCGAGAGAAGGGATTTCGTAATAACAGATTTTGGTACAGTGAATACCAACTCCAGCCCCGAAAGAGATGTTTCTTCTGTTACTTTGTTCGATGACCATTCGGCAAGTGTCAGTAATATCAAGACATGGATGAGTATTGTGTTTACCTTTTTGATCTAGTTCACTGGATAAGTCGCTCATCGTTGAGTATTGATATTGCTCGAGTCTAAATGCAACAGGACGCACAGCGTCATGCAAAGTCCCACAGAGAAACTTGGTGAGCTAGGGTAGACCTTCACCAGTAAGACTCTTTGTAAAAAGATGAAATGACAAGTTTCTTTGTGTTGAGATTTAGACCAATCACTATTTCCATCTGAGTACGGGTCGAACATGATTTGCGAGACTGATATATTGGTATTTCGGCCGCAATCTAGTCATCGACTGTCTCAGTTCATAGACAGATAGCGTTCAGCTACAACGTCAATATAGAACACGAAACAAGCTCTACAACATGACTAGGGTGACCCTGAATGCCTTCATAAAGCAGCAAAATCCAGTAAATGGAGGAGCATATTTACGTTTATTCCTGGGGCCTGTTATATGAAGATACTACCTACATATCATTTGATCCGAGAAGAAACGCAAGTGTGATGAATGTCTATTATCATCGTTTTAATATACAGAAATGCAAATGCTAGTAAACGACAACCTCATTTGAAAGATGGTATTCGTCAGAGAGCAGCCAAAATAAGCAAAAGACACCAGAAAGAGAGTAGTCAAAAAAGCAATACAATAATTAGATGTATGAAACAATAAGATAAGTGCAACAAAATAGACACGCATAACTAAATTCAAACCAGACACCAGCATCAGGAGTCTCCCTAAAGCAAACCCAGACCCTTTCCCGAACCCATCCATACCCAAGACAATCCCTAGTCCAACCATCTATCTATTCCCATGGATGCAGTTCTTCATCTGATCGTGTCTCGGTAATGTCATCCGCAAGCATTTAACAAAAGAAAATGGGGGTGTTGCAAAGGCGAGATGACATCTTGAAACAAAACAATAAATCGCAGATTTGGAAACACGATCAGACCGTCCGACTCCTTCCAGTGCGCTGGTTTCCCACCAATATAAGTACAAACGGATAAAATGCATGAAAAACAAAGGAAATAAGAAATCAATCGAGAGGCATAGATGTATTCTCTCGTGGGAATCAAGGGGCTTATGCAATGAAGTTATTAAACAAAGGAAATAATGGAAAATTCGAGGCTGTTGCGAGACAATTGGTGTATGAATCGCATCATACAGCAGTGGACCATGTGTGGTCACCTCGAGGCTTCATTTCGTAGTTCTCCGGCTCGGTGCTGGTAGGTCGACGAATGGTAGAGTTGGGGAAGTACATGTGCGGCGGCATCGAGGTCGGGTACGCGGGGCCAGTGGGCTCAGGGTAAGTGAAGTCGTTGGCCGATCCGGGCGATGGCATGCTACCGTGGGACGGTGAGGCCCATCCAAGACTAGTCATGTGTGGGCTGCCGTTCACGCTATTAGGGCGGTGATCACTGTTGGCCGGGGGCTCAAGAGGTTGAGGCGGAGCATAGGGATGCGAGGTCATAGACGGCCGGGCGTGGGGCGCACTGCCGTAGCTGGACAGCGAAGGAGAGGTCGCAGTCGGGGAAGCCCGGGGGCTGCCTTGGGGGAAATCCCCACGTACATGAGGCGGGATAGGACCGGTGCCCATGTAGTAGTCGCCGGCAGAGCGGTGCATGTTCAGCGGTGGGAGCTCGCCACCAGGTGACATGGACGGGTGCTGCGCGGGTGACGGTGTAGAGTGAATGGAAGCGTGCTCGGAAAACATTCCTTCGCCAGGACGTCCGCGATCCTTATTTTGTCGCAACTGGGCTTCTGTTTCGGCAGCGGCTTCTTCAATGGTCCCAGTGTGATGGTTTTGGTGGCGTGTCAACGTCGTACGGCGGGTGAAGGTCTTCTGGCAGTTGGCGTATGGGCATTTGTATGGTCGTTTGCCAGAGTGGATGCGGCGATGTCTGGCCAGTGACGACGAGTCACTAAAGGGCTGAATAGATGTTAGATGTAGCCAGAAGAAAGAGAGGAAAGATACACACCTTGCCACATCGCTCACACATATGAGGCTTCTCTCCGGTGTGTACACGGGAGTGTACGGTCAAAGCCGAGCGTTGAATGAACTGCTTTCCACATCCTGGCCACTCGCAAGCATGTGGTCTAACTCCGGTGTGAATGCGCTCTAATGAATTGTCAGTGACCGCATCTCCGAAGTTTGTGGAAGATACATACCGTGTCGAGCAAGATCGCTACGCCGTGCGAAACCCTTGTTGCAAGTTGAGCAGTGAAAAGTCTTTGGTGGTGGTTCAATTCCCGCTCTTCCCTGTTGGACAGGTTCCTGCTGCATCTGGGGATCGCCAGCGTATCCCGCAGGGGCATAAGCCATGTTCCGAGGGGTTGAACCCGTGGGCTGTGCATAATAGAAGGAATCGGCAAGTCCGGTATCCATTTGCATGGGCGGGGGACCGTGAGGAGGGTATGCGTTGACAGGGTTGTCCGAGCCACCTGATTCGCTCTTCATTGTGGGCGAAGCTCCGGTGTGTAACTGTGCACTCTGTTGAAAGTACTGTTGTTGTAACTGAGCTTCGGCGGCGGCGGCGGCTGCAGCGGAGTTTTTCCTGTTCAGGATGGTCGTGAAGTCCATGACCCGACCCAGCAAGTAGCCAAGGGACCGCGGTCAAGGACTGCTTTCGAAGACGTCCTTCGGCAGACCTTCCACGGCTAGTATTCCGACGAAGTCCGATAGGTTATTGGATTCGAAGTCCTTTACGCGTAAGAACTGGTTGGTGTGAAGGATGGCGGGTCGTTGGGAGGGATATTTGGGTCACAAGTAGCAAGCTCTGTAAGTCACGATTTAGTCAGAACCAGTTTTCTATACAGTGAATCGTCCTCGATTCTGCAAAAACTCCGCGAGTGCACAGCTCGTAGGAAGACCTTGGACCAGAAACTCACCCTGCGTGAACCTGTATTACACGTTGTGTCTTGGACAGTCCCTCAGCGAAGAATGGGACGGGGTAAATTCTCCACTTTTCTGCAGTGGAATGCAAGGTTGCGTAAGAGGTATCGATGGATGGGCTTTCTGCCAAAAAGCCAAGCTCAGAGAATAATGTTGTGGTCGGCTAGAGGCGGAACGCGTGGTCGTTTGTCGGTCAAGATGGAAGAACGATTGGTCTATTATCTCTGTCAAGGTTCCTATGCGGGAAAAAAACAGCCGATGGTCAGCATGAAACGAATATCAAGATGACGGTTGCGATTCCGCCTTATTTCCATCACAGTACTGTAAGCTTGTGATCTTCTCGCCTATGCGCCGCGGTCCTCGGTGACGGTGAGGGAGACCAGTCACAACACAAAGTTCTAGGAAAACGAAAAAAACAAGGCCAGCACACATGGGGAAATTGTCCGGGTTCATAAAACCCAACATAACAGAGTAGCCAGAGAGGGTTGGGCAGCCAAGGCGAATAGGCGAGATGCGTCATCGCTGGCAAATCGCGGTCAAGGCAAGTGAAGTAAACCACATCAAAAACACACCTTTTGAGGGAAGCTCGAAGTTCCAAGATATTATAGAGAAGAGTAGAGGGCGAAAGGGAGAATGTTCGAGGGGATCAAGAATTCGCGCAAAACGGGTAAGTGGGAGGGGCAGAGGAAAATAGACAAAGAGATGAAGATTGAAGATGGAAAAAGAAGAAAGGAAGAGGGTTAAAAAGTAGTAGAAGAAGTAGAAGAAGTAGAAGATGAGAAAGGGGGGGGAAGAGAGAGAGAGAGAGAGAGAGAGAGAGAGAGAAATAGGAAATATGATTATTACATGATTTAGGTGATTTAGGTGTGGTAGGTGCCACTGTCTCTTGCATCTTTGTACATCATTTTTTTATTTTTTTTTATTTTTTGGGGATTTACTTGATTTGATTCTTTTTTTATTATTTCGAGGGTTTTATTGAGTCAAAGTATTATAATCCTAATTTAAAATCTAACTTCCTATACTATATTGTCTACAGAGTATAATATAGCTATATTCCAAAGTTATACTCCTATATAATACATTCAACACTCTCCTAA